GGTTACCAGGGGTGGGAGGGTAATTTCCTGGGTAGAGTAGACATGTGCTAACTTGGGTGATGGGGAAGGCAATATACAATAAGCGGGATATAGAAAAGAAAGAAAGATTAAGGAAGATAATGGAAAACACAGGGAGGAGAGCGAGAGTTAAAATGAATAAAGATCAATACTGTTAGCTGATAGTGTGTGGAAGGGATTGTGATCATTGTAATGGCACGAAGAGTATGAATTATTGAATTTGGGACTGATGATCTATTCTGTAAACCTTTACTTAATTCACAATAAAAAGTTAAAAAAAAAAAAAGATTCCACGAATTGATGGAATACCAATTGAAATGTTTCAGCAAAATGATGCAGTACTAGAGGTACTCACTTGTTTATGCCAAGAAATTTGGAAGACAGCTATGTGGCCAGCTGACTGGAAGAGATCCATATTGGTGTCCATTCCAAAGAAATGGAATGAAATGTGGAAATTATGGAACAATATCATTAATAGCACATGCAAGTAAAATTTTGCTGAAGATAATTTCAAAACAGTTGCAGCAGTGCATTGACAGGGAGCTGCAAGAAATTCAAATGAGATTCAAAAGAGGATATGGAATAAAGGATATCATTGTTGACATCAAATGGATCTTGGCTGAAAGGACAGGATATCAGAAAGATGTTTACTTGTGTTTTATTGACTACACAAAAGCATTTGACTGTGTAGATCTTAACAAACTATGTATAATGTTGCAAAGAACGGAATTCCAGAACATTTAATAGTGCTCATGTAGAACATGTACATAGACCAAGAGGCAGAACAAAGGATACTGTGTCATGTAAAATCAGGATAGGTGTGTAACAGGGTTGTAGCCTTTCACCATACTTATTTCATCTGCATGCTGAACTAATAATCCAGTCATCTGGACTATATACTTGGTGTGGTGCTGCAAGATCTGTTTGAACCACAAGGTCAGTGATTCACACCCACCGGCTGCTCCTCGGAAACCCTATACAGGGTCTCTATGAGTTGGAACCTATTCGACGACACTTAAACAATAACAACAGTGAAAACAACGTGGCATCAGGCTTGTAGGAAGGCTCATAAATAACCTACCACGTGTAGAAAATACATCTCCTTGCTGAAAGCAAAGAGGACTTGAAGTACTTACTGATAAAGATCAAAGACTACAGCCTTCAGTATGGATTACACCTCAACATAAAACAAAAATCTTCACAAAACAGGGAAAAGATTGAAGTTATCAAAATGTTCATTTTACTTAGATCCATAATCAACACCCATGGAAGCAGCAATCAAGAAATTAAATATGTATTGCACTGGGCAAATCTACAAAAGACCTCCTTAAATTGTTAAAATGTTATTTGGGGGAGCACGATGGCGCCATATGATGAACACTGGACTGAAAACCACAAGATCTGTAGTTCAAGCCACTCAGGGGGAGAAATATAAGACTTTCTGCTCCCACAAAGATGTAAAAGACTTGGAAACCCTGAAAAAGTTTGCCATGAGTCAGAATTGACTTGAAAGCACTTAACAACAACAAAGTGTTAAAGTGCAAAGAAGTCACTTTGGGATAAGGGTGCACCTAACCCTAACCAGGGTAATTTCAGCTACCTCATATGAATTTGAAAGCTGGACAATGAATAAGGAAGACCAAGAGATTTGAGGCATTTGAATTATGGTGTTGGTGAAGATCAGTAAATGTACCATGGACTGCCAGAAGAATGAACAAATACATGCTGGAAGAAGTACATCCACATTGCTCCTTAGAAGTCAGGGTGGCAAGACTTCATCTCACTTACTTGGGACATTGTGTTAGAAGTGGGCAGTCCCTAGAGAATGACATCATGCTTAGTAAAGAAGAGGGCAAGCAGAAAAACAAGACCTTCAATGAAACAGATTGACACAGTATCTCCAATAATGGATTCAAACATAGCAACAATTGTGAAGATGATGCAAGACCAAACAGTGCTTTGTTCTATTCATCCAGTCACTATAAATCAGAATCAACTCAAAGTCTCCTAACAACAACAATTCTATGGGGTGAACCACTGATATATTCAACCAAAGTCCAGGTCATTAGGATCTGACAACTGGCTTGCTGCATCTAGTACTTGAGGTCATCAGTTTTGCTTTGTTTTTAAGTTTTATTGTGAATTATGTGATCGTTTACATGGGAGAACATTAGTTTTACATTCATCCTATTGTATATTGTTTCATTGCCATGGTTACAATCCCCTCCATGCATCACCAACCAACCAAAGGTACATCCTACAAGCCTGCCTACCCCTCCGTCCTCCCTCCCCCCTCCTCCCCCCTCCCCCTCTGGTTCATCAGCACACAGCCCCTCTCCCTCTCTGGGTCCAGAGTCCCCAGCTGCTCCATCTCCTCATGTCATTATCTCTGCCTCCATCTCAGGGATCACTGCTTCCCTGGGTAGGGTCCTGCTCTCCACTCTTCTCCCTTCATGGTTCCAGGGACCTCCGCTCCTAGATTGCAAAGTTAATCACTCCCCTCCTTGCCACAAAATGTCTACTTTTATATATACAACCTTCACAGTCAGTCCTGGTAACAATTATTCACCCTTGTATCACAAGAGACCTATCCGCATTTCCTTTCATCAGTCCCGCCTAAACAGATTGGATACTACTCAGTGGAGGTTCTACCTTCCTCCATGCCCTCTGGATCTAGGCTCCCTCTTGAAAGCTTGTAAGCCAGTCACTTCTTGCCTTTGTAGCCCCCCCCCCCCCCATTTTGGATATCCAATGTCCAAGTTGTCCATCCCTGTCTACTCTGTTTATGGAGGGGGTGGGAATGCTCCTTGCTGTAAAGATTTGTTCCCTCTTTTGAGCTACTGCATCCATAGGTGTAGGTCAAGTTCATCAAATTACATAAGATTACTCTTTTTTTTCCTTTTCTTTCTTTTTCTAGTTGCACTCTGATTGTCCAGTCATTGAAGCCAGGGTATTATCTGCAAGTGTGGGTGCTCTTCTGCATATGCCCTATCTTTTTATCAGCTGGACGCTTCACTCTCTACTCTAGTCCTCTGTGGCTATGTCATTGACTCTGGACCCAAGAGTCCTCAGGTCTTGCCACACTGCTGGTCAACCAGGTCTCTAGCCAGGTTCACAGGAGTCTATTGAACGTTGTAGGACTTAGCTTGCAGCTTCATAGCTGTTTTTCCCTCACTTCCCCTTATCAGTGACGAGCATGGTCACCAATCAGAGTGTGTATTCCCATTGAGTCTTAGTCTTGGAAGAGGGTTTACTCTGAGGGGACCTGGCCACTTGCCTTGATGTCTCCTGGGTGACTCAGATCAGAGAAGGTAGCTCAAGTAAAACACTACTAACTTCCATATTTCATCTATTTAAGGATTAACTGGGGTTTTTTCTTTCACATTTTAGCCTTTCTGAAATAGGATTGTTGTTGTTAAGTGTCATCAAGTCAGTTCCAAATTATGGCGACCATGTATAGAATTTCTGAGGAGCAGCTGTTGGGTTTGAATGACTCACCTTGTGGATGGCAGTCCAGGGCTTACCTTTTAGCACCACACCAATAGCCTTTATTAATAGATGGCATGCTGTTGGTAAGTGCTATGGAGTCAATTCCAGCTAATAGTGACCCTGTATAGGGTTTGAACAGTGGGTATGAATAGTCGATCTTGCAGTTAATAGTCCAGTGCTTATCCTACAGTGCTAATCAGGACTCCATGTCACTGGTTAATTAGCATCATTTTTTCTTTTATAGAGCAGATAATAACAGTGTCTTCTTCTTGAGTGCCATCGAGTCAGGCTTCCAAGGAGCAGCTGGTGGGTTTGAACTGCCTACTTTTTGGTTCTCAGTCCAGTGCTGATCCTCCATGAAAAATAGTCCCACAGATCAGGTTCTCCAGGAAGCAGAAGCTGAGTCAGGAGTGCAGAATGTTTATTGTGTAAGGAAAAGAGAGCAACCGAGCAGCCACAGCTATCACAATGTAATGAAAACCTGGCAAAGTTCATACCATCCCAAGATTTTCCATCAGAGTGCTCCCATGAGCATTAATGGATCACTCTGATAATAATGTGACGTCACATTTAAACTGTCAGGTAGATCCTGACAGGTAAGGGCTCTCATCACCAAGGTGACGGTGGGCCAGAGCAGTACATTCTCTGCCACATACAGTAAACATTTTTTAGTCAATTAGTTTTAATTCTCTAAAATTGTATCACAAAACTAGAGTATTATGAAGAACGCTCACAAAAGCAGTTACTATCAGTACTTCCGCATTTGTTGGCCCAGTGCCCTCAAAAGTGGCCCTCAACCAATGACTGGTAGAAGTTGGATAAATATCCCAGCCTCCTTGCCCCTGGGGTGGTAAACACATGATCTTCACTGGATCCAAAAAATTCCTCAGTGGTATTAAGATCCATCTGGTTGGTAAGACCAGTGTCTGTCAAGTCCATTTCAACTCATGGCAACTCCACATGTATCAGAATAGAATTTTGCTTCAAAGGATTTTCAACAGCTGATTTTTTTCAGAAATAGATTGCCAAGGCTTTCTTAAGAAGTGCCTCTAGGTGGGCTCGAACCTCCTACCTTTTGATTAGTAGTTGACAACACAGCCTTTATTCATTGTTTTCCTTTCCCTGTCTTTCTTATTCCACTGCACCCCACCCAACCTGGTGTCTTTTGACCCACTGGCTTTCCAAATAAACTACTTGACTCAAACCTTTGTCTCAGGATCTGCTTCTAGGAAAAACCAAACTAAGTCACTGACAAAATCAAAAGTGTTATGAATAAGACCTCCATATATACATATTTTTACTCAAAATTAAATCATTTCTAATGCTTATGCCTTAAGCGTAGGTGCTCCCAAACTCACCATTTTTACATAAATGAAAATAAAAATGCATAATCCTTCCCCAAATAGGAAAGCCCAGTTCCTAGTATGAAGTGGAATTATATCCTTTTCAGAGGAACATTTACTCATTATTCTATATCTTGTCTCTTTTTCCAGAAATTGGCACTCTTCATGAAAACTTTAATTGGCAAATTTCTATTGATCAGAATGACTTCAAAATATTTAAAAATTGTGAGAGTCAGCTATGTGAAATCCTCCATAATAAGTTTGGTTGTATTTCTACCGTGGACTCTCCAAACCTTCTAGCCCTAGAAGATCACACCCAGTCTCTGCCAGTCTTCAAAAAAATGCTGCCTTCTGGGGTAGAGGTATCAGTCTGGAAAGATGACCTCACCAGACACGCTGTTGATGCTGTGGTAAATGCAGCCAATGAATACCTTTCACATAAGGGAGGTCTGGCCCTGGCCCTGGTGAAAGCTGGCGGCCCTGAAATCCAAGAGGAGAGCGAAATCTTTGTTGAGAGATATGGTGCAGTGCCAACAGGTGAGGTAGCCATTACAGGAGCAGGCAGGCTTCCCTGCAAAGTCATCATCCATGCTGTTGGCCCTCAGTGGACAGAGATGTATGCAATGAGATGTGTTAACGAGCTTCAAAGGGCTATTGTAAATATTCTAAAGTATGCCACCACAAGCTCTCCAAACATTAAAGCAGTTGCAATTCCAGCCATAAGCTCTGGGATCTTTGGTTTTCCTCTGGATTTGTGTACACAAACCATTGTGGGAAGTATCCGTCTGTTCTTCTCCCAAAATGAAATGGCCATAAATTTGAAAGAAATTCACCTGGTGAGCAATGAGGAACCTACTGTTGCTGCCTTTAAAACTGCTTCCGAAGACATCCTAGGAAGGAACGAGCTGGTAAGCCATAACATTTAGGAAGTGCAATACATAATTTGGGGGGTCCAATCCAAATGATCAAGGACCACATTGAACTGCAAAACCAAGTCTTTGTTTCTGTTATATTGCCAAAGGGGATCCATGAACTGCTAGTTACCTACTTTTTGAGTATATGCTATTTGTAACAGTTGCAGAAAGCATCTTGATAAAGTTATCTGTATGGACTTCTAAGCCAGGCCACCCGGAGTTAAATCCTAGCTCTGTGATTTACTAACTGTGTCATTGTAAATAAGTGAATTTATCTCTTGGTCCTTATCTGTAAAGTGAGAATAATAATCTCAATTATTGTCAGGTTTACTGTGAAACTGAGAGAATCAATACACAGAAGTGCTTAGAATAGTGCTTGGCACATACAAGTATCTATAATTATTGATGCTGCTATTATTCTTAGGCACCAGGAGGAAACAGAACAGTCTTTGATCCTAAGGAATTTAGAATGCACTCGCGGAAGTAGCAGTCAAGAGATCAGACGACGTATTGCACTGGGCAAATCTGCTGCACAGGAACTTTTTAAAGTGTTGAAGAGTAGAGATGTCAGCTTGAGGACTAGGGTGCGCCTGACCCAGGCCATTGTGTTTTCAATAGCCTCATATGGATGCGAAAGCTGGACAGTGAATAAGGAGGATCGTAGAAGAATTGATGCCTTTGAGTTGTGGTGTTGGAGGAGAGTACTGAAAGTGCCATGGACTGCCAAAAGAACCAATAAATCTGTTTTGGAGGAAGTGCAGCCAGAGTGCTCCTTGGAGGCCAGGATGGCTAAACTTCATCTCTCCTACTTTGGACACATTGTCCGGAGGAAACAATCGCTGGAGAGGGATGTCATGCTGGGTAGGGTGGAGGGTCAGAGAAAAAGAGGAAGACCCCCAATGAGATGGATCAGCCAGGTGGCATCATTGATGGACTCGGGTGTGGCAGTGGTAGTGAGGTTGGCCCAGGATCGGACATTGTTTCGTTCTGCTGTGCATGGGGTCGCTATGAGTCGGTTCCGACTCGATGGCACCTGACAACAACAACATATTCTTTATCTATCTATCTATATATGAATATATGTATGTATGTATGTATGTATATATATATATATATATAAAGCCTCTTTATTAAAAAACATCTAGTTGTGGATATAAACCATACATTGCTGAAGCAATCTATAAATAGTAAAAAAAGAAAAATGTCTTAATACAAAATGAATTCATGTTTAATTGTATGTAAATTTATGACAGTGGAGTACAGAGAACCAAGAGAGATTACTTCAGAGGATGTGAGTTTTGAATCTGATGCCAACTTGTATTGAGTCTTTGAATTGAGAGAAGGATGGATTTTAGAGTGGTTAGAATCACTGGTTCAGAGAAACACAGAGAAATTGGAAAATGCCAAATAAGTGAGCTTGACCAGAGCCAGTAGACCCAGATGGAATTTTAAGTTACATTCTTTGTTCTTGGTGGTTCTGATTCATAGCGACCCTGTATAGGATTTCCAAGGAGCAGCTGGTGGGTTTGAACCTCCAGCCTTATGGTTCAAGCCAACCTTGTGGTCCAGTGCTTATCCTACAATACCACACCACAACTTGTACCTTTAAGCCAGGATTCATTGTGCACAAATGTAAAAGTTCTGACAGGGAGGAGAGTAAGTCAGGGCAATGGTGAGCCTAGGCTTTCTGGGCTAGTCTAGGCAGAGAGTACCTCTAGGGCAGGAACCATGGATTATTCATATCTGTAGCTCCAGCCTGGTCTGGGCCTGTTTCTAGGTGTGCAGCGAAGTACTGATGGCCAAGTGCAGAGGGCAGAAAACAGGGATTGCATTAGAGGAAGAGAAAGAATCATATGTATGTGTAGCCATTGAATTGACTCCAACTCCTAGCGAACCTGTGTAGGTTTTCCAAGAGTGACTGGTGGATTTGAATTGCTGACCTTGCTCACCAGTCACTCCTTGAAAACCCTATGTAGGATCACTGTGAGTCAGAATCAACTTAGCAGTTCTTATCAACAACAACATATATAGTATTATATATATGTTTTGTTATACTACCCTTGCTGTTAGTAGTCCAGTGCTTATCCTACAGCACCACCTAAAGACTTCTCTCAACAACATTGTTGTTACATGCCGTTGAGTCAGTTCTGACTCATAGTGACCCAGTGTAGGGTTTCTAAGGAGTGACTGGTGAGTTTGAACTGTCAACCTTGTGGTTAGCAGTCCAGTGCGTATCCTACAGCACCACAGCAGGACTCTACCACCAACGTTAAGGACCTGAAAATGTTTAAAGAGTACTAAGCTCCCAGTACTGCAAATTCTGGTGTACTTAGTTAAGCATTCATTTACATCCATGAGAAACACCTACGTTATCTCTGGTGGTGGTGGTTACCTGCTGTGGAGTCGTCTCCGACTCACAGCGACCCTGTACAGGGTTTCCGAGGCTGTAAATCTTTACGGGAGCAGAAATACTCATCTTTCTCCCGCGGAACAGCTGGTAGTTTCTAACTGCTGACCATGAGATTAGCAGCCCGATTCGTAACCACTACACTACCAGAGCTCCTTAAGTTATCCCTAGAGGTAAGCCAAAGCCATCACGATGATTGTGAGGATTTTGGACTTGGGGGAGGGGAGCATGAAGTAAGGTATGGTGTTTGCAGATGGGAGACCAGGATTTGATAACAAGGCCTATTAATCACAATTACAACAGTTGTTTTGCTTCTTGTAGACTTACAGAGCTGAAATGACAAAGGATATGTTCAAGTTGGGGCTCAACAATTATAGTGGTGAGTAAGACATTCATGGGTCTCAAAATATAGAGTCTCCCACCAAAAGTCTACTGTTGATCATCTGAACTCATGGAGTGGAGAAAAAGAAGAAATGAGCCAAACATATTTAGTTGTGCATCTGTTCAGATACCATCCTGGTCTATACCCGACTGTTTCTGTTCTTGCTCAATTTTCAGTTTATGATTAAAGAGCTTAATTTGCAGTAGGTAATCCACAGTGTGGGTAGTTCACTGAAAAAATTAAAGCCTATAATTTTTTTCTAAGAAAAAGTTCTGCTCTTTCTGTTGTGAACATATAAATTGAGTTACTCATTAGTAATTACAAAAAGCACATCCCAGATAAATGGGTTAGCCTGATTTTCCCAAACTCAACTAACCATTGGAACCATGACAGAAACTTAAAAAAATAAAACAAACAAAAATACAAGGGGCTTTAAAAAATTTGTGGAAAACTTCCACCATCTGTTAATCCCATTTTTCCATAAATTTTTTGAAGCCCCCTCAAATATATAGGCAACAGCTGAAGAGATTCTGATTCAGGAACTCTGGTCCTGGGCCAAACATGTTCTGTATATGTTTAAGTGCTCCTAGACAATGAGTGGAGTCCTGGTGTGGCGCTGTGGGTTAATACACTGGACTGCAAGGTCGTTTTGAACTGCAAGGTCAGCAGTTCAAGCTTACTAGCCACACCTCAGAAACTCTATACAGGGTTGCTGTGAGTCAGAACCAACTCGATAGCACTTAACAACAGGCAATTTTGCTAGGTTTGGGGATCACTGGTTTAATCCAATCCTTGCTGTTGGAGGCTTGTTGTTTTGTTAGGTGCCATCGAGTCGGTAAAGAGTCATAGTGACCCTATGCACAACAGAACGAAACACTGTCCTGTCCTGGGCCAACCTCACAATTGTTGCCACACTTGGGCCCATTGATGTTGCCACTTTGGTAATCCATCTCGCTAGGGGTCTTCCTCTTTTTCTCTGACCCTTCACCTTACCAAACATGATATCCTTCTCCAGCAACTGGTTCCTCCTGACAATAAATATGTCCGAAGTATGAGAGACGGAGTTTGGCTATTCCGGCCTCCAAGGAGCACTCTGGCTGCACTTCTTCCAACACAGATCTGTTGGTTCTTTTGGCAGCCCATGGCATTTTCAATAATCTCCTGAAGGATGAACTTTGTTTTAAAAGTACATTCCTTTAGTGGAGTTTAAGGATACTGAGATGGAATTGCTTCGTGACACCTAGAATTTGAAACCATTTTTTAATTGATAGTATCCGATGCCTATTAAGAACACTAGACATTCAACTAAGAATACAAACTGGGCTCTCTTCTCTTCTGCCTCCTGCCTTCTCTCTCCAGCAGAGGTCACCTTCCTCTTCCTCACCCTGAATAAAAGATTCCAGATGGGCCATCTGGTGTGAGGTGTGGTTGATGAGCGGCGCCGGGTTGTTTTTTCCCTTTCATTGGTGTCAGAAGTGGGATCGGTGAGGCCCCCGATTTAACATCGGAAGGTCCAGGACCACAATTCTCCCGGCGCCCTAACCCGCTCATTTCAACATGCTCTCCCAGCGCCTGTGATCATCTTCCCTGACGTGACGCCTTCTTAGCACACTTCACTGGCAGGAGTTAATTCTTCAGCCCTCTGGCTCGGGTTAGCCGCATACCCAAATTTCCCAGCAAGCAGTTACCCAGTTGTTGTTACAAGCTGAAGACCTAAGACTGTGGAACCAACCTCAGTCCAGCTGCTGACCCAGTTACAACACTGCCAACAATGACAAAAAACCATTGCCAACCATGGTCCAAGCCCAAAGAAAGACAACCTCACCACCCCAATGCCAGCAGGAAGTAGCTACGGAAAATGACCATCGTCCCTTCCCCCGTGGGCATGGATCATAGAGACGGCCATTCATTTTTCTTGTTTAACCAAAGAGGGGGAAATGTTACAATATCAGGTCTGCCATTTTAGGCTGTACCTTCCGGGTTCTTCCCTCTCCCCTCCCTTCAACTCCATTTTGTCTATTTCCCCACCCTAAGCTACAAGGTGCGTAGTTTAAAGGGCAACATGGCTTTTGATAGGCCAGAGCTAAATCACCCCAGCAATGACCACACCCTTCCTGGAGAACCTATATAAGACCACTCCCTTCCCGTTCTCTCTCTCTCTTCTCTTCTGCCTCCTGCCTTCTCTCTCCGGCAGAGTTCACCTTCCTCTTCCTCACTCTGAATAAAAGTCTCTAGACGGGCAAAAAAAAAAAAAAAAGAATACAAACTGGTAAGACATTTCCCATATGGTCAATATGATTTGAAACTACTTTTAAATGGCAGAGTTTACCCAAGGATGTTCAGTTGTCAAGTAGTGCTGGTAGTGAAGTGGTAGAATTTAAGAGTTCTGACCTGAGATTGAGCCTTTTATGAGTCTGTTTACTCATCTGTAAAATTATGATAACACACTGTTGTGAGGATCATTGAAGATATTACATGCAAAAATTTTCTGGAAATTTCAAAGCATTAAAAGAAATGCCAAGGGATAATAACCCACCATTCGTCTATGAGTTTGTCATACTGTGGTGGCTTGTATGCTACTGTGATGCTGGAAGCTATGTCACTGGTATTGTAAATATCAGCAGAGTCATCCATGGTGGACAGGTTTCAGTAGAGCTTCCAGACTAAGACAAACTAGGAAGGAAAAGCAGACTACATTTTCTTAAAGTTTACCACTGAAAACTTATGAATAACATCAGAACATTGTCAGATACAGTGCCAGAAGATGAAAACATCATGACTTACACCAGAATGTTGTCATATAGTGCTGGAAGATGAGTCCCTCAGACTGGAAGGCATTTAAAATACAACTGGGGAAGAACTGCCTCCTCAAAGTAGAGCAGATTATAATGATGCAAGTGGAGTAAAACTTTCAGAACCTTAATTTTCTGAAGGGGCACAATTCAAAATGAGAAACAGCTGTAAACATACATTAATAATCAGAACATGAAATGTGTGATGTATGTTGTTAGGTGCCATTGAGTTGATACCAACTCATAGTGACCCTGTGCACAACAGAACGAAACACTGCCCAGTCCTGGGCTAACCTCACAATTGTTGCCACTCTTGAGCCCACAGATGCTGCCATATTTCCAATCCATCTCACTGGGAGTGTATGTGTATAAATGTAGAAAAATTGGAAGTTGTAAAAAAAAGAAATGGAATACATAAAGATCCTTATCCTAGGCATTAGTGACCTGAAATGGACTGCTGTTGGCCGTTTTGACTATTGTCTACTATGCCAGTACTAAGGTGTGGCTGACTCAAGCCATAGCATTTTCAGTAGCCTCATATATATGTGAAAGTTGGATAGTGAATAAGAAAGACTGTAAAAGAATTGATACATTTGTGTCAAGGTGTTAGAGAAGAAAGGTAAAAGTACATGGACTGCTAGAACAAACAAATCTGTGTTGGTAGACACACAGCCAGAATGCTCCTTAGAGGCCAGGATGGTAAGAGACTTCATCTCTCATACTTAGGACATATTATCAGGAAGGACCAGTCCCTGGAGAAGAACATGTTTGGTAAAGTGAAGGGTCAGCGAAAAAGAGAAATACTCCCAACTAGATGGATTGACACAGTGGCAGCAGCAAGGGGCTCAAGCGTAAACAATTTTGAGGTTGTTGCAGGTCACTATGAGAACTAACTCAATAGCACCTAACAAAAACAACTATGCTAGGAATGAAAAATTCAAAAAGATAGGTGTAGCATTCATCATCAAAAAGAACATTTCAAGATCTATCCTGAAATATGATGTTACCTATGATAGGTTAATATCTATATGCCTATAGGAAGTACCATTTAATACCACTATTATTCAAATTTATGTACCAGTCACTAAAGCCAGTGATGATAAAATTGAAGAATTCTACCATCTTCTTCAGTCTGAAATTGATCAAACATGCAATCAACATGTATTAACAATTACTGGTTATTAGAATGTGACAGTTAGAAACAAAGATGACCTTTTAATAGAAATGATGCTGGAGTTTGCATGATAGAATTTTGCAAGACCAGTTACTTCTTCATAGCAAATAACTTTTTATACAACATAAAAGGCGATTATACACATGGACCTCACCAGATGGAATACACAGAAATCAAATTGACTATATCTATGGGAAGAGATGGTGGAAAAGCTCAATATCATCAGCCAAAATAAGGTCAGGGACAGACCAGATTATCAATTGCTCATATGCAATATCAAGCTGAAGTGGAAGAAAATTAAAGCATGTCCAAGAGATCCAAAATATGATCTTAAACTTATCCCACCTGAATTTAGAGACCATCTCAAGAACAGGTTTGATCCATTTATTACTAATGACCTAAGACCAGAAGAGTTGTTGAATGGCATCAAGAACGTCATACAGAAAGAAAGCAAAGGTCACAATAAAAAAGGAAAGAAAGAAAAGATCAAAATAGATATCAGAAGAGACTCTGAAACTTGCTCTCCAGTGTAGAGATGCTAAAGCAAATGGAAGAAAGGAGGAAGCCAAAGAGCTGAACAGAGCATTTCAAAGGGTAGCTCAAGAAGACAAAGTCAAGTATTATAATGAAATGTGCAGAGACCTGAAGTTAGATAACCAAAAGGGAAGAACATGCATAGCATTTCTCAAGCTGAAAAAACTGAAGAAAAAAATCAAGCCTCAGGTTGCAATATTGAAGGATTCTATGATCAAAATATTGAATGGCATAGGAAGCATTAAAAGAAGATAGAAAGAATATACAGAATTACTATACCAAAAAGAAATGGGCGATGATCAATGATTTCAAGAGGTAGCAAATGAATGGTGAATAATTGTTATCAGGACTGACTGTGAGGGTTGGAAATGTAAAGGTAGACATTTTGTAGCAAAAGGAGGGGAGTGATTAACTTTTCAGTCTAGGAGCAGAGGTCCCTGGGACCATCAAGGGAGAAGAGCAGAGAGGGGAACCCTACCCAGAGAAGCAGTGACTCCAGAGATGGAGGCAGAGACGATGACATGGGGAGATGGAGCAGCTGGGGACTCTAGACCCTGAGAGGGAGAGGGGCTGTGTGCTGATGACCAGGGGGCAGGCTTGCAGGATATACCCTTTGGTTGGTTGATGATGCATGGAGGGGATTGTAACCATGGCAATGAAACGGTATATGATAGGATGCAAGGTTTCTGTAATTAAAAAAAAAAAAAAAAGGTAGCAAATGATCCATAACCTGTGGTACTGAAGGAAGAAGTATAAGCGTCACTGAAGGCATTGGCAAAACACAAGACCCTGGGGATTGATTGAACACAAATTGAAATCTTTCAATGAATTGATGCAGCACTGGAGGTACTCACTTGTCTACGTGAAGACATTTGGAAGACAGCTACCTGGCCAACTGATTGGAAGAGATCTATATTTGTGCCCATTTCAAAGAAAGGTTATTCAACAGAATGCAGAAATCATGAAGCAGTATCATTAACATCATTGTTATTGTTAAGTGCCATTGAGTCAGTTCCAACTCATAGCGATGTTGTATAGAGTTTCCAAGGATCAGCTGGTGGATTTGAGCTGCCAATCTTATGGCTTGCAGTCCAGTGCTGATCCTATTGTGCCACATCAAGAGTCCATTAATATCATATTCAAGTAAAATTTTTCTAAAGATAATTCAAGAATGGTTGCAGCAGTACATTGACAGAGAACTGCCAGAAATTCAAGCCAGATTCACAAGAGGATGTGGAACAAGATATATCATAGCTGATGTCAGATAGATTTTGACTGAAAGCAGAGAATACAAGAGAGATGTTTAGTTGTATTTTATTGATCATGGAAAGGATTTTGACTGTGTGAGTCATGGCAAACTATGGATAACTAGGTATTCCCGAACACTTAATTGCACTCATGAGGAACCCGTACATAGACAAAGAACAGTTCGTTGTTAGAACATAACAAGGGGACACTGAATGGTTTAAAATCATAAAATGTATGCACCAGGTATCCTTTCACTATACTTGCCCACAATCTATATACTGAACAAATAATCTGAGAAACAATTATATGAAGAAGAAGAGTGTGGTATAAAAAAGACTCATTAACCTGCAATATATGCAGATGATACAACTTTGCTTGCTGAAAGCACAAAGAACTTCAAATACTTACTGGTGAAGGTCTAAGACAACAGCCTTCAGTATGGGTTGCACCCAAATGTAAAGAAAATAAATATCCTTACCACTGAACCAATAAATAACAACATGACAAATGGAGAAAATACTGAAGTTGTCAAAGACTTTATTTTGCTTGACTCCACAATCGGCACTTGTGGAAAGAGCAGTCAAAAAATCAACTGATGTATTGCATTAGGTAAATCTGCTTAAAGTGTTCAAGAGCCAAGATGTCAGTTTAAGGAGTAAGGCATGACCGAAGCCATGGTATTTTCAATAGCCCCATATACATGTGAAAATAGGACAGGGAATAAGGAAAACCATAGAAGAATTGATGCATTTGAGTTATGGTGTTGGATAAGAATATTGAAAGTACCATGGACTGCCAGAAGAACAAACAAATCTGTTTTGGAAGAAATACAGATAGAATGCTCCTTAGAAACTAAGATGGCAAGGCTTCATTTCTCATACTTCAGACATATTATCAGGAGGGGCCCAGACCTTGGGAAAGGGCATTATGCTTGGTAAAGTGGAGGGCCAGTGAAAAAGAGGAAAACCCCCAACAAGATGGAATGGCACAGTGGCAACAGCAAAGAGCCCAAATGAAACAAACATTTTGAAGATATTGCAGGACTGCATAGTGTTTTGTTCTGTGGTACATAGGGTCAATATGAGTCAGAACCAACTCGACAGCACCTAACAATAGCAACAAAGGGTATTAATAGATGAAATAATGGAGAAAATCCTCAAGTATCCCAAGGGAGGACACCTCTTGACTGGAAGAGATGAAAAACAGAAGCTGAGTTTGAAAATGACAAAGATTTTTCATGGCTGGAGTTGGTGGAATTGGGTACCCAAGATAAAGAAAACTCACAGGAACAAGCCAATGCAGTGCGTTTTGGGAGACTTCAAGGGACCTGTACTAGATAGACAAATGGAATTTTACATGAGGATGATATAGGAAAGGAGCATACACAAATGTCTGTATTGTTAATATGAATAATGGAATCAAGCATCACCAGTTACTTGAATTCTTGAGGACAATTTCTAAGGAAACTGTTATATGAACAATCATTGACATTAATAATGATGATCTCAGATCATCATGGAAAGGCTAAACTACTTAGGAAGGCAAGGAAATGTATTTCCATTGAAAATACTTAATGTGTGCTGACAAGTCGATTCTGACTCATTGTGATCCTAAGTGACAGAGTAGAATTGCCCAGTAGGGTTTTTTAGGCTGTAATCTTTGCAGCACTGCAGGGTAATGCGCTGAACTACAAGGTCAGTTTGAACTTCAAGGTCAGTGGTTCAAACCCACCAGCTGCTCCTTGGAAATGCCATATAGGGTCGCTATGAGTCAGAACAGACTCGACAGCACTTAACAACAACAACAACAATCTTTGCCAGAGTGTATTTCCAGATCTTTCCTCCCTCAGAGATGCTGGGGCCAACCATGTAGTTAGTAGTCAAGCAAGCGCTTAACCATTGCACCTCCAGGACTCCTTGGCATTTAACTAATAAACAACAACAACGAAAAACCACTACTGAGTCGATTCTGACTCATAGCAAACCTGCATAGGGTTTCCAAGGCTGTAAATCTTTACAATAACAAAAAGCCTCATTTTTCTCCAGCAAAGTGGCTGGTGAATTTAGTTAAAATTAAATATACTTTGATGTAGAAAAGATCTGAACAATTTCATTGCCTAGGAGAACAATTCGTCTATCTTGCTAATTATGAATAAATGAAGTTTTTTGTGTTTTTATTTTTTCCTAAAAAGTGATATAAGCTCCTAAGCCGAACAAGGATTTCTTTTAAATGCCTCCAATTGAGGAACACTTGTCACTTCTCTCTGTTGAATAAAACACTAGCTTTTATTCTTACTCACAGGAAGGACATTGTCCACCTCTTACTTCATACCTGTATAGCTCCTGGTATGCCCAGACCAGCTGCCATCAAGTCTTTCCAACTCTTGGTGACCCCATGTATGTTCTCCATAGCGTTTTCAAAGACTGGTTTTCCAAAAGTAGATCACTAGGCTTCTAAGGTACCTCTGGGTGGTTAGCAGCTGCACATATTAACTATCTAGGGACTCCATAGCCCCCACTTACTAGTGGTGGTACATGAAGATGGGTTGGAACCAGGTCTCTATAACCAGAAACATTTCCTTGAGTGTAAGAGGGTGCTACTAATAGCACCCACCTTATAGGACTGTAAGGATTGAATAAAATACTTTCTGTAAAACATAGAAAACAAATGCCTAGACATTAGTAAGTGCTCAACTTACTTTTCCCTCTCAAAATATTTTCCAAGAGTCATCTATGTAACAATCTTCTCATTGTTTTAATAATATTCCATTGTTGGAGACATTTTAGGTTGTTTCCCGTTTTTTGGTGCTACAAACAAGAATGTAAACTTCTTTGCACACATCTGTGATATACAATGTAAATAATTCTTTAAGGTATTATTCCAATTGTACACCCGTCATGAATGCATAGACGTTCCAGTTGCTCTACATCTTCCCCAACACTTAACATTGTGAGACTTGTGAACTCTTACCAGCCCTGTGCATGATGATTCATTTATTTTCGTTGATGAAAATATATATATTTATTTATATGTCCTTTTATATGAAATCTTTTGCTCATCTGGCTACTGGGTTTTTTTTTTTACTTAATGTTTTGAGGAAACTCTCTCTGTGCCCTTCCTCAAGAATTTTTCTCTCAGCTGGTCTGTTGCTCTTGTTTTTGTCAATTTGGGTTCAAAGTTGCCTTTGTTGTTGGTTGCTGGTGCCATCAAGTAAATTCCAGTTCATAGCAACCATATGCAGAACAGAACAAAACATTGCCCAGTCTTGCACCATCCTCACAATTGTTACATTTGAGCCCATTGTTGCTGCCACTGTGTCAATCCATCTCACTGAGGGGGCTTCCTCTTTTTCATTGGCCCTCCACTTTACCTAGCATAATGTCCTTTTT